GTGAACAAACTTTAACTCTGAAGTCGGGTAATTGTACATTGTGTTTTTGTTTAGATGATGTTAAACAAATTTTAACTGTTAGTCATCTTATCAATTATAGGTTAGAATTAGTTAAGAATTTGAATTTCATTGTATACTATGATGATTACCTACAATATTTGAATGTAACTCACAACAACAACAACAATAATCTTATGCAATCAATCATCAGCATGTGTAACTTGAATAAGTGTGAATGTAGCTGCTACTTTCTAGAGCTTGCTTCTATGAACCTAGATAAAATTGTTAGGGATTTAGATAAGCTCAACGCATGTATCCAATTTAATTAGTAGTAATAATAAATATTTAAAAACAGTATTGCTTCTTATTTTATCCACAGTCTAATAGCAACCAGAGCCAAAATGTCTGAATTACTGGTGGCGAATGCCGTGATCAATCTTCCTAAGACAAGCTGTTTGTTTGCTACGTACTAGAATCAGACATGTACTTTTTACTTCGAGAACTTTTTGAACTTGAGAAATAACCCTCTAATGGATTCAGTTGGATTTCTGCGCAAGATGTAGAAAAACATGAAAATGGTGTCAATTGTTGTAATCTATATCTGGATAATTCCATCTCCTTGGAGGACCTATGTGTGCTAATGAATAAATATGGACTACATGAACAATTAAAACAGCATGTCGCTAAATATATGTGTGAAGATATGATTTTAAAATATATAGGTTATGATGAAGTTGACTAATTTATACATTTTTTAAATAATAAAAGATCCTTATAAAAATGCTTTTCATTAATAATTATCAAAACACCAATGTAATAGTAATTCGTTGGAGCTGCTTGTTTATATTAACTAAGTATATTACCGGGTTTGTTTATTGTCATTTTCAGTCCTAATTTCCAGACTAGTAGACTAAACAATGACATATAAGTTTAATGAGGCATTATTTTACATTCTTTTTTTTGTATTGACGATTGGCTGCTATTTTATTGAAATTCTTTGGAAAAAAAATGGTCCGCGGTCGGATACATTAACTAAGTGTATTACCGAGTTTGTTTATCGTTATTTATTTTCCAGTACTAATAACGTTGCGCCAGACTCGTAGACTGAATAATGACATCATATGCTATAAGTCTACACGATGATGGAGAGATTTCGCGCTTCCCAGCACTTCTCCGATCCTGATACAGATTTTCAGCTAGCAACTCTTCTATGGTCTCTTTTTCATCATCGAGCAAGTTGAGACTTGTTTGCAAGCTTAATATATACAAGGCAGTAGGTATTTTTCTGATAATTTTTTAAAATAATACTTATTTTTTATAGTACTTAATTATTAATTATTTAATCAACTAACCCAACGACGTGGGGGGTCCTATGCTAACCTATAACTAACCCAAACCAACCCTTGCTCACCACTGCTGTATACAGGCCTCTAGCCCTGTATCGGTGTATACAACCCTATCTCTAGACCTGTATAGCTGTTTCTTGGCGCTCGCTCTCGGACTATAGTTAAATGTGGTACTCGAGACGCGTTTGGAGGCCATTATAAGATAAACAAACACTGTTGAAATAATTATTATTGTATGTACGTTGAGGTTTAAATCGGTTTTTATGATACTCGAGCTTCAGTCTTGGTTGAACTCGTCAACAGCGAACATTATAATTATTATAAAATTATTGCACATTTTTTTTTAACAAGTAAGTAAATCTTTTATATACTAATATCAATACCTACAGAATATTTTTTAGATATGGATTTGAAATCAATCAACGAGACCTGCCTCTTCAAGGATCAAAAAACACTTGTGAAATTACAAGACATGGAGCCTGGCAGAAAATACCCAATATTTTCTGCTAAAAAAACCCAAAGTAAATTCGGACCGAGCATCCTCATTGAACTTGACGATAAGGCAGTGTTTCTTCCAAAACGTACCACCAAATCATTGGAAGATCATATTGAGCAGTTTATGGATGGAAAATATTCAATAATATACATAGGCCAGAAGGATGTAGGACGACCAAACCAAATATCGCTTTTTGAAATATTTAGTTGAGTCTTAAAAAATGTATGTTTTTAAATAAAAAATTGTTTGAGGTTAGTTTTTTTTTTTTCTTAAGCCCATCTGTCTATTTTCTTTATATTTCTTCATGTATTAATTAATGCATGTTCACGTATTTTTTCATCTGTATAAATACATGTAGAAATAAAAAAAATACACATAGGTGTAATGTTATACGGGGTTTATAGATGGCGCATCAGAGAGCGGGTAAGTTGGAGTAGTTCAGGTAGATTGGGTTAGATGACATTGACAGATGACATTGACAGGTGACTGACATTGAAAGGTGACTGACATTGACAGGTGACTGACATTGACAGGTAACTGACATTGACAGGTGACTGACAATGACAGATGACATTACCAGCTGACTGACATTGACAGATGACAGATGACGTCACGGCGAAGCCCTGGTTGGCGCATGCGCAGACGTCACGGGGGCGTCGGAGGCGTTGGAGGGCGCAGAACCGGCCATCATACACTGCTGTTATCAAATGCTTTACTTTTCATCACCAGTTACGAAAAGTAAAATTTTTCGCAACTGGTGATGAAAAGTAAATTTCACCATCAGTTGCAAAAAATACAAGAACAAAATCTGTGATACTTTTGGGGCTGAACTACTCGAAGAACTTTGTTGTTGTTATATTCTTTGTACGTGCGTATTATGTTACATAATATGACAACGTATGGAAAAAAAACTAATTAGTTAAATATTAATATTTAACACAATTTAAACAATTATTGATGATATTGATAACATATTTTTTTGTCTAGCATTAATTAATTGAATATATTGAATGTTTTTGCTATAGAAGTCTCTTTAAGGAAGTTGGTGACAATTTTCTGTTTATTAATAGTAGTTATTGAATTTTCCACATCCCCCTTAGCGGCTGTATAAGACTTACACCACTCATGCTATTTAATTCCCAGCAAATCATCCACAAAATTTACAAGCATGTAACGTTTTCAATTTCTTGGCTAATAAGCTACCTTGTTTTGCTTTAGTAGATATGATTCCATATAAAATCTGTTTTTTTTTAAAGATAAAAGTCAAACTGACATTATGTTGGCAATACAATGTAAAATTGTCAATGCTTCAAATTTTTAATGTAGAAAAGGCTTGTGTTGCCAACATAGTTACTAAATTTTTGACTTGGGGAATTATCTTTAAAAAAAAAACAGACTATAGAACTACAATGAAATAAATGAATAAACAACTATCTTTTCTGTGCCCAGATTTTGTTACCTTGAGTACTGCCTTCAGTCCGTATTACATCTGTGTATTTCTCCGTGTATTTCTACATGTATTTATACATGTATAAATTCATGAATTTCTTCACGAGATCAGCTGTTTCACATTCATGTTTTTTCAATAGCAAAAATACGCGAAATTTCAATTGTACCAACCTCTCTCAAAAGTACATATTTGTCACTTCAAATTGTCAAGTTTCAGTGTTCTGTGCTTCCAGTTTTTGCAGTGGCAATTTAATTTACTCGCGATTTCTTCATAAAATGTTAAATTCAAAACTGAAAAATAAGAAAAGAAAGGCAGCTTTACTTTGCATCATTGCAGCATGCTCCTTGCTGCTAAAGGAAGATGATTTGAAACCAAAACAAAGGCGTTGGTGGGTGAGGCCTTGGTTATTGAACAAAAAAATGGGAGGTTTAAGTTTAATTGATAGATTTAGAGATGATCCTGGCCAATTTAAGCAGTTTTTAAGACTGGATGAACACTGTTTTAGGAAACTTCTAAACCTAGTTAAACGCAGGCTCACCAAAAAGAAAACATTTTTCAGAGAATCAATTTCAGCTAAACAACAACTTATTGTCACACTAAGATTTTTGGCAACAGGCGAAACCTTCAGAAGTCTGATGTACGCTTTTAGAATTCATGAATCCACCATCTCATTATTTGTACCAAATGTGTGCCAGGCAATATATGACTCCCTCAAATCTGAATATTTGAAAGTAAGTGCCATTACCGAGACAATGAGTGATAATTAACTACATAGGTATAAATTGTGTGCATTTAAAGTTGATATATTAATTTCATTTTTATAATTTTTTAGATTCCTCGAGAGAAAGTAGACTGGTTGAAAGTTGCAAAGGACTTTGAAGACATATGGAACCTGCCGCATTGTATAGGAGCACTTGACGGAAAGCACATCTTGTTCAGACCCGCGCGTAGTGCTGGTTCAACTTTCTTTAATTATAAAGGACAAAATAGCATAGTTTTACTAGCTTTGGTAGATGCTCAATATAAATTTCTTTATGTAGATGTTGGCAAAAATGGTAGGATGTCTGATGGAGGTGTTTTTAGGGACAGCACTTTGGCTTTGGCCATTGATAGAAACACTTTGAAGTTTCCAGAAGACAAAAGTCTACCAGGAAGACATAAAAAAGTTCCTTACGTGTTTGTTGCAGATGCTGCTTTTCCCTTATCAGAAAGGATTTTAAAACCATTCCCATTCAGGGATATGACTGAGGAACAAAGGATTTTCAACTACAGACTCAGCAGAGCTAGAAGAGTAGTAGAAAATGCATTTGGAATATTGGCTAATCGGTTTAGAATTTTTTTGACAACCATTGACTTAAATGAAAGGAAAGTCGAGTTAATAACTTTGGCTTGCTGTGCACTACATAATTTTTTGAGAACAGATTGTCCAACATCTATTGCAGTGGATGAGTATGACAAAAATTATAAATCTATACATGCTTTGAGTGTCCAAGGTATGAATAGACCAAAAAATTCTGCAATTGATATAAGGAATGAATTTATGCAATATGTTAATAATGAAGGGGCTGTTGGTTGGCAAAATAATTTAGTTTAGACTGAGAAACTATGTTTTTTTTTTCCAAAGAATTCAATAAATGTTTGAGAATGACCTTTTAACTCAGAAAAAAAATGTTTCAAAAAGTATATTGATGAAATGATGTATAAATGATTAAAACTGATGATTCTGATCTTCGTCTTGTGCATCGAACAACAGTTGCGATATACTCCTCTTGAGTTTGTTAAGAATTTGAGGGCTCTTGATATTCCTCAATTCTGATCCAACCATTCTAAAAACATAAAATCATTACTAGGTGTATTGAACTAGTAACCAGGGCCGGTATTCTGGTCCTCGAAAACGCTCACCGCTTTTCAGTCGCTTGGACTTCTAATGTAAATTTGCATTAAAAGTGCCGAGCGACTTAAACGCGGTGAGAGTTTTCGGTAACGAGAATACCGGCCCAGTGCCCGCTCCAGCGTTTACGTCGCCCCGGACAAAAAGAAAAATTTTCGCCTCATTTACCGCCGATATGTTTTTTTCCTACAGCCGTGCGGAAAAATCGATTTTCCGCACTGATATGCGTGCGGAAAATGAGTTTTCCCGCACGGTGCGGTAAAACTATTTTTTTCGACATATCAGTGCGGAAAAAGCTTTTCAGCACGGCTGTCAGTGCGGAAATTTTTTTACCGCACTGATAGTCAAAAAACGCGTCCTTCGGTGAACGGCAGCCGCGTGCGGAAAAATTCATTTTCCCCACTTGTTAGGTAAATAGCTTTTCGTCAGAAATATGAATATTACTTTTTGCTTTTAGGCAAAAAGAGTGCGGAATGTGAATTGCAAGTTAACTTTCAACAATAGTTTGTCACATCACACCAAAAAGGCCGACTTTTATTTTTGCGGCCCCAGACAAAATAATGTCCGGGTCGTCCGTCCCTAGAGCGGGCCCTGTAGTAGCATACTGTGCAAAATTTCCAATATGGTCTAGTGCTTCCGTTGAAGTTTCCTGACCTAGCAATGAAGAAGCCTGTTGTAATAAACTCATAGTAGACTGATGTTTTTCTTCGTCATTTATTTTTCTTTTTTTTCTTTTATCAGAATAGCCAGGTTGGGAGCTAGATTCGCCATGAAAATGTGAAGCACTCGGTAAAGCCTGTGGAGTTGAAACTATTGGAACATTTTCAACATTGTCTTCAGACTCTAGTACTTCGAGATTGTCATTAAAAAAAATGTCCTGTAATAAATGATAACTTCAATATTATTAGTTGAAAAAGCAGTCCATGACTCAAAGTGGAGTTGAAATTTAATGTCCAGAGAAAACAATGTCTTCCTGCCCCGGTACATAGGTATCCACCTCATGATGTAAATAAATAATACATAAATTTACCGGTAACTCTTCAGAATCATCTATGTCTCGTGAATTTTCAGATTGTTCTTGAGAGCTCAAATTGGATGAGCTTTTCCTAGTTGTGGAACTATTACTCAAAAATTGCAATAAATCGAAGCACCACCAAGTAGGTTTGTAGACATATGTAGCGCCGGCTCCACTTCTTTTACTTTTATTAATTTTATTATTTTCATTAAAAAATTGGCTTCTGAGTCCATTTTTTTTTTTTTTTTATATCGGCTTGGGTTAATAATGCTGCTTCTGGATGAATTTGAATAAATTCGTTCAGAATTTGTTTCAGCTTCATCTCTCTGTTCGTTTTATTTTTATATATTTCTTTGTGAACGTCATAAATATCTGGATACTTTTCATAGAGGCTAATTAAAGTTTTAGTTTTTTCTCTAGTGAAGTTCAATTGAAATTCCATCTATAAAATCAAGAAATTTTTATTTAAAGTACAACAGACACAAAAAGAGTACTCTATTTACCAAAAATGAAGGTATTTTCTAGTAGGTTTATAGGTATCAAACACATAACAACGGATGGTAAGGTACTTACAATTTTTGAAGGAACAGCGCCAGTTATAAACAGCAATAAGGTCGAAGGAATTGTTTGATTTGATTCCAGCTCAGATCGAACACAATCAATCACAAATTGACAAATAATTTGATATATAACCAGAAACCGCCAAAATTTAAAAAAGGTTATGAGTCGTCTGTTGGTAGGGTTGGTAGCACTAGAATACTCGAAAAAATACAATGTAATACGGGCTTTAATGGAACAGGTTTTATTGCTTGTATTTATACATGTATTAATTCAAGGTCAAATACACGGTAATATTTCCGCTTCACATTCGTGTATTTCTTCATGTATAAATACATGTAGAAATACATGTAGAAATACACAGATGTAATACGGACTTTCTACTGAAAGTTTTTTTGGTGCAGGTTTGCAAGTTTTGTTAATTGATCTAGGAAGGTTTGATTCAGTACGGCAGGGCCCGCTGTTATTGATTAGAATCTTAGGAAAAGGAGTTAGTACCATCATCATATCTGTTTGTAAATCCAATCAATAATCTGAGGTTATGATAGTAGAGGTAGATGGTTCGTTCTACATCCTCCGACGCCTCCGACGCTAGTGCGCATGTGCAGTATCGGCGAAGCCTAACCCAAATGACGGTTACGCAGACTAGGGCGTGACACGTGATTTGCGTCAAATGTCACCTGTCATTATTGACAGCTCTCTAGTTATCCCGTATCTCATACAAGAGACCCGTAACTAGTTATCCCATATCTCATATGAGATACTCGTTACTAGTTATCCCATATCGCATACCTAATACTGATGATGACGTAACTAGCACTAAGGGTGTTTTACAAAAATTTTTGAAAAAGTTCCCAACTATATCAAAACTCGTTTGGAGCAAAAACTAGCGTAGCTGCCATTTTTGCTATTCGCGCACAGCTAACTATAAAGGGAAGCCTGAAAAACCAGTTTTGGTCATCTGCGCATGTTGCCTAAGGGCCTTATACTATTTTCTTGAATAATTCCCGTTCTAGCAGTCCGATTCGAATAATTCTTTCACCAAAAATTCTAAATAATTGAACGCTCATTTGAAGACTATTTCCAGCCGTTTAGCAATTACCAAAAGGGCCCTAATCACATTTTCTCATATAATTCGCGTTCTAACAGTCCGATGCAATTAATTCTTTCACCAAAAATCAGTAAATAATTAGTGAGGTATTTGAGGACTACTGAATTTTTTTTTTTTTTAAATACAATTTCTATTTATTAAACCATAAAGTACATCGATTTTTTCATATATGATAAATCAAATTTCAATAGTAAATCACACACATCTTCAAAAGCTTAAACTAAACCAACGATTAGACGTATAATTGCATCATCTTCAGTTTCCCTTTCCTTTTCCTTTTCCTTTTCCTTTTCCTTTTTTATCTATCACTGCTACTGGTGCAACAGATTGCTTCACCTTCTCATTGATCATTTGAATCACCTGTCCTTTCGTGATTAAATCGATATCGTTTATAGCTTTTGCAGCTCTAACTATTATCTTATCACCAATGCTTATATAAGTAGCTGTCATATTGAATAGCTTATGTTGTTCTTCTAATGCCGATATTTTCACATTCAGATTCTTTTTAATATCATTTTCAATCGATTGCGACTTACTGGTTAAACTTTCAATTTTCTTCTGATTATCTTTTATTAAGGATTCTATTTGCTTATTTTCCTCAAATACTTCTTGTGAGGGTGGCCCAGCAACTTTTTTCTGGTTTTGCAAATCTGTTTTAAATTTTTCTGAAAATTCTCTTAATGATTTCTCTATATAGGATTTTGTTGCGTAATCTTGTGATTGGTTTTCCAGGCGACGTTTTAACATCAAATTCTTATACTCGTTAACAGTTTTTAGACGCTGTGAACGTCCAAACTTATCAACAGACATGATGATACTAAGTTGAATATCAGTTGCTATAAACTTTTATAGTGTGTCTCTCTCTGTCTCTCTCTCTTTCTTAATTTATCCTGAAAACTAAAATTTAAATAAAAACAACAAATGTTTTTTAAGAATTTATTACACAGGGAAACACATTTTTATAAGTTTACATCCTTATAAGTTGCATCACTATCTAAAGCACATAATTTGTTGAAATCTATAACTATTTTTTACGGGTTAATGTATATAAATTCTAACATTAAATAAGATAATTCACATATATTTAAATTACAATATTCTCTTATAACACTTAAACAATTATTTTCGTTTACAGTTTTTACATTATAATATATCAAAAAATTATCATAAAAAGTCTTGAAATCTAGTTCTGCGAGAAGACTTAGCCTATAATCTATTATGTCTTGGATTTTTAAAAAGGATTTAATATCATCTATACAAAAACATAAATTAACTCCTCCGCTTGTTAACTTGATCATTCTCTCTTCAAAAAACATAACTGTAGAAACAATAAAGTTTTCCGATAATGAAACAGTTGTTATCACCTCACTATTATCTTCAGATAAGTCCTTAAAGCATGTAACAATATCCAGAAATTCGAACCATTCTAGATTACCGAACGATACAGTCACTTGTTCTTCAGGCAGATTCAACATTGTACTTGATACTTTTAAACTGGGCATCAATCCTCGAGCAATACTTATTCCAACAACAATTTTAAAGTTCTCGGTTGAATAACGAGTCTCCCCCAAGAATGTTGTTTTTTTCTTCGTACCTTGCTTACTCATCAAAACATACTATCGAAATACTTCCAATGAGGTGAGGAACAAGTTGAGCAACCGCCGCCTTCACTATCCATAATACCATCAATATCTGCTGGCGTCGACATGTTGAGTTACTATATATTCAATAAATGCTCACAATGAACTGATTGAGGTTTTGAACAAAATACTGTTTATATAGAAAATCCTCACCATTTTTTACTTTAATTGTTTATACTTGTTTAAATTCACCTCCAGAAATAGGAGTTTAGATAGAGACCATCCACTGTCTCTCTCCTGAAATTTCAGCAGATTTTGATACTAAAACTTGTTTAAACTCATCAAATATCTCATCCAGATCTGTTATAGGAGAAATAGCAGCAAAACGCGAATTAAACGATTTTATTTCCTGTATTTCCTTCAAAACATATAATCCATATAGTTCCATGTTTATTTTTATACTAGAGGAAGTTAAAAACATTTTTCTTATCAATTTCATGATTTTTGGTTTCAAGTCTTCCAAATAAAGTTCAATACTTGTTAGATGTATATTTGTGGATAGTCTATAGGAAATTATGCGGTTTTTAAATGCCGTATTTATAATCTGAACATTGGGTTCTAGATCTATACAACACTTATTTTTATGATTATGACTTAGGTTATGTGAATGAGAAGAAATACTTTCCCTCACAAACTTTACAGTGCAATCTCATGATTGTAAATGAAATGGAAAGTCGTCAAAATCTTCTTTTAAACTACATCCTTGTCCCCGTCAACCCAGCTATTATGAGATTGATCAAACCCTAACCATTTCACATACATTTTATTTCCTTTCTTTCTAAGCACTTGTTCTATGAGAAACACGTCGGGTTGCTTCGTTTTCTGTAATTCTTCTTCATAGAAACCACCACTTATTGGACGACCGTGCAAGTCCTCTAGCAAATATGTTGTTGGATTCGTAATTCGCACATTAGCTATTTTGAACAATTCTGTAGTCCAGTTTGGGGTATACCCTTTCTGAAAAACATGCTTGAACTTGCTTATGCGGACTACGTCATCAACCTTAAATTTTTGCTTTCCAGCTACTTTGATATGACTATAAACAGTATCAAGTAGTGTTTTTTGATTATTTTTAGGAACTTTGCTTGGTTTCATATTAATCGTGCTATGTTTGCGATCATTATATGCATCAGTAACAGGTTTCAATAAATCGATCCATTTATGGTTTCCGTTTAATGTAAATTGCTTAAACAGTTTTTCTTTAATGGTTCGGATTACTCGCTCTGCAATAGATACTTTTAGAGGACTGAACGAACTATAATGATGTATTCCATGTTTCTTCATTAGACTCGAAAATTGAATATTATAGTATTCCTTAACATTATCCGAAATAAGCTTTTTGGGTATTCTTCCGGAAACTTTCAAAATGTTCTCCATAGCTTTAGTAACATCTTGTGCAGATTTCGATTTAACAGCTCTAGTCCATAGAAATTTAGAAAAACAATCGAAAACAACCAATATGTATTTAAATCCTTTGTTTTCTCGTGCATACTGATCAAGCTGAGCCAAATCTGTAGCAATAGTATCATCCAGACCATACTGTATGAATCTTCTACTCGTTCTCTAGCTTTTGAAATAGTTTTCATTTTTTTGTTCTGAATTATAGTACCTACATAAATAGCAAGAGATGTAACCTTGACAGTGGTTAGACCTATAATGATGATTTAAGATGAAGCACATTGAACTATTTATTAAACTCAATCACATCCAATTCGGTCAGTTCCTCCAAAATACTCATGATTTCATTGATGTTATTGGTATTTCCAGCTTCTTGTGATGCATCCAATTTGACAAGTCTAACAATTAACTCGTTAACGTCGTCATAATAAACATACTGTTTTGGATTCTTATTATATTTTAACAATAAAGCACTTCCTGATTTATTTGTTGCTACATTCCGACCAGATGGTGAGGCACTGCTACT